TCAATAAGGTGACTACCAGTCGAGCCAGTAATAGCCTCGAATGACACGTCCGCGCTTGTAGTAAGCATAAAGTTGAGAAATACAAGCGGGCATGGGTTCAGTGTCGGTATTCTTGAAGGCGGCAATGATGACTGCGGCTCGAACTTCGAGATCGACGTGGAGAATCGCAGTTCCTCCGGAGCCAGCAGCGAAATGGCAGCGACTATGACCGGCCGTGTGTGTCTAGTCGTATTGCAGGCCGCGCACTGCGAAGGTGCAGCGACGCTATGTGAATCTTCAGCAGATCTGCATGATGCGGTGGAGACTTGTCGAATACGCTTCAAATTGGTAAATGAGGATAATATTTAGATACTGGTAGGCCAACCTGTTGATCGTATTACCATCGATGCAAGATGGTACGGCATCGTTTTGGCGCCAAAATGACCCTGGTTGAAGTGTCCTTTGAGAAGCCTGATTGGCTAGCTTAAATTTTACCAATGAACGGCGGAATGAAATCAATCTTGACGATAATTAACTATTACAAACGTAGCACGTTGAAGCTGTCGCGTGGTGATGTACCGAAGATCGTCGGGTCCGTCGACGGAGTCTGTTGGACTAGAATACCACCCAAAGGTCGATGCGTGAGAGGTCCAATGCACAATCCATAAGACGTGTGCTGAAACCGTCGCTTCAGGTTGATTCTATTTGCGCACGTATCACTCGATAGATGCACTAGCGCCAATCTATGCTACCGCCAGCGGAAGGCTCAAATTGTTTGTGCAGGTGCCAAATTTTACAATTCAGCGAATATTCTTTTGGTACCGGTATTACTTCAAAACAATCTTCAAAAGGCGCGATACACCAGGGTGTTCTTGCTGGCAACAACACCAGGGTTGTTGCCAGCGTGTATGAAGTGGTGTATCCCGTCCGAATCACACTAGATTAGGGAGTGCGAGGCTCAACGAAGCCGTGCTGTCTTTTATACCAGCCACTGCAAGCTCGGTCATAAAAACAAGATCTCACTGATGACATGGTGAGGTGGCGCTCCCCTCTTGCTCTCACATGATAGTGGGTATACAACACTTGCTGGCATTCGTAGTTTGTCTATTTTCAAATGTTCGTGATACACTTCATGTATTTTGTTGTTATCACATACGAAACGGATCACGTCCGCACTGCACTGGACGATGGATCTGGCGCTCGTTGCGTACTTGGCGTACGTTGTGGTAGCCGCACCCTCGGTCATATCGACAGAGAACGCGCTGGTAGCCACTAGTATTCGTGTGGAGTTGGTGAATGCGGCGAAGCCGTCGTCCGCGATATCGGTGGACTTGTTAGCGTTAGAGCTGAGGTTCGCGTCGACCGAGAATGCATTGTTCATTTTATTTAGTTGCCGTTGCTATGACATACGAAACGGATCACGTCGGCAGTGCGCTGAACGATGAATCTGGCCCTCACTGCGTACTTGACGTTCGGTGCGTCAACAACCGTGGCCTTAGTATAACGGTTGACACGGCATCTCGACACCCACATTCTGTGTCAGAAAGCCGAACGGCAAGTGGTGCATTGTTCATGCTTTTACAAGCTAAATGCGGCCATCATACCGGCGCAAACGCCGATTCCTCGCAAGGATGTTTTGCAGAACAACATGGTAGGTTGTACGTTGTACAGCGCACTCGACTTGGTCGATGGTTGCTACCAATTGCTTATGAGAGCGTGCGACATTCCGCTGACAGCGGTGAGTACTCCGAGCGGTATGCCCTCGGAGTGGCTGACCATGCCTGCTGTCGAACGCACCGGCAACGCTCAACCGTCTGGTGACGCATCGGCTTAGGCCCCAACGGGCGTACGCTCAGACGTACTTTGACGATATATTCTTCCATAGTCGTGCTGAGCACGGAATCTCAGACGTGGAGAACCACATTGATTATTTGCAAGCGGTTCTCGATTGCATGCGCACTAATAAATTGTATGCTTACTTGGACAAGTGCTTCTTTGGCGCGGAGGAGACACCTTTCCTCGGATACTTCATTGGGAAGCGCGGGGCAGATCCTGCCAAAGTCATGGTCATCGTGACCTGGCCGGTTCCTAAGAACCCAAATGACTTACGCAAGTGATTAGACTTAGCCAATTACTTGCACAAGTAGATAGCGAGCTACGCGGCGATGGATCGGCCATTATTATATCTCCTAAATAAACACCATGGTGCTGGAACGTCGAGCACGACGGAGCCTTTGAGGCTGTGAAGGAGAGCCTCCTCCAAGCTCCGATCCTTGCGCTACCGGACCCGGTAGTCCGCTTAGCGTCGTCTGTGACGCCTCCGATTTTGCAATCGTACTACAAGCAGACGCCGGAGGGCGTTAACGCGTGATTTCGATTAAGTCTCGCCAGCTCAAAGCTGCAGAGAAGAACTATCCATTTCATGACAAAGAGCTACTTGCAATGAAGTATGCTCTAGTCAAATTCAGGGTACACCTGCTAGGTTCTAAGCCTTTTGTGATTTCTACTGATCACGCGTCGCTACGCACTGCGACACGGTCGCCTCATCTCTCTCAGAGAATGGCAAGATGGTTTTCCTTCTTTGCCGAGTACAACTTCGAGGTGAAGTACAAGCCGGGGAGGCTTAATGAAGTGGCCGATGCGCTCTCGCGCAGGCCGGACTACGAGCTAGCTCATGTCACGACAGTGACGTCGTCAATTCCGGACTTGATACGCGGAGCGTATACACAGGACGACATGTGCGTAGTCCTGTTGCGAGCTCTTAGGAGCGAACGGTTTAAATCCGCTGACAAGGAGTTGTCTGGGCGCTTACGCGCGAGACTGCATCGATACTCCCCGATGGCGGTGTGCTGTACTACAACGCCGACTCTGAGGATAACCCTCGTGTAATCGTTCCTCATGATGACGATCTGGAGAATAGAGTCCTCTATGAGGTTTATGATCATCCGTGAGCAGGCACTTAGGTCGGCAGAAGACAAATGACTCGGTGTGCTCGATGTACCAGTGACCCAAAATGTATAAGTGGGTACGCACGTGTGAGACGTGTCTACGGACGAAGTCCGCGCCGAGAACGGCAACGTCGTTGGCGAGTTTGCCTGCCCCCAAGGGATGTTGGCAGTTCATGAGTATGGACTTTGTGTTTGGCCTTCCCAAGGATAAGGCGGAAAACACGGATATTGTGGTCTTTGTAGACCGACTGAGTAAGATGGCTCATTTAGCGGTGATGCCGGACACCATTGATGGTGAAAGTACAGCTTTGCTGTTTTCAGACTTTCGCCAACATGGCTTGCCTGAGGCAATTGTCTCAGATCAAGGCCCGTGCTTCACCGCGAAGTTCTGGGCGTTCCTTTTCAAAGTGCTCGGTACTCGTTTGAACATGTCCACGGCGAACCATCCGCAGACCGACGGTCAAGCCGAACGCGTGAATCGGGTTGTGGAGGATTTCATCCGATCCGTATGCGCTGGCGCGCCGAAACGCTGAAGCCAGATGCTCCCACGCGCTGAGCTCGTATTATAAAATTCAGTGCATACCTCGACTGTCTTCACTCGGTTCTATGTGAACGGCTTGGTGAGCCCTCGCGTCCTACTGATGCCGCTATGCGCTTGGTGGGAGAGGGATAGCCGAGCGGCCGGCTGATGTCAGTCCTGTAGCGGCTCGCAAGTAAGTCGATGAGTTTGTCTCTTTGAGACTGAGCGTTATGCGTCAGGTGCGAGACACTATGGCTAGAAGTCAAGCCACGCACAAGGAACATGCAGATGCCAAGGGCAGAAGCAATGTTGAGTGTGTTGAGGTCGGAGACCAAGTTCTATTTACCTGCATAACCCCTACCAAGTCATACAGCGTCTGAAGGCTTCAAGCCGAAATGAGACCTCAGCTCATAGGGCCGTTCATGGTCGTGGCCAGGAAGGGCGTGGCGTATACGCTCAACCTTCCGATGAAGATGCGCACGCATTCGTCCTTCTTCTATGCTGGCTTGCTAAAGCCTTATCAAGACCCTGCTCAGGGGGACGCGGGGGCGTTGGTGCCAACGGTGGCTGATCGACTGGCAGCCGCAGGACAGCAGGTCGTTGGACCACGGGAGGCTGGACGACAGCAAGTGGTGGATCCACAACAGACTGATCAAGAACAAGCTGTCAGAGCCACAGGTCGCGAAACGAAGTGCTCGAGATGCAGAAGCCAATAAAGCTGAACGTTCAGCCGAGCGACACGACGCTCAAGGTCCGGTTTCTGGTTGAGTCAACTGTAGCGACTGCAACCTATCCACAAGGTCGTTCCTTTCTTCGAGATCGACCGATGGGCGGTGAGCGTGGACGCTCGCGTCGTGGACACAGGCGTCGTGTGGACGCAGATGCCGTTCCGACACGAGCGGACCCTCTCCGCGGGAGCCCAGCTGAGACGTGGCCTCATCCCGCTCGGCTCGATGAGCATGGTGAGCTCCACTATCACGTGCAACGCCTTGTGGCGCCGCGTAGACGCCAGGGTCGTTCCCATATCCTTTGAAGTGGACGTATTACCCTTCATGGGAGTTTGAGGTTATCCTACGGTAAGATTTCCGTGACGTCGTGGACGCTTACGACCGGGTACATCCTGCGCCGAAGCACCACCGTGGCGTATGATAGCGTCTCCACGCGCTGAGCACTTCCCAATAGCGAACAGGTCAGTAGTTGAGCTCAGGTTCTGACCAGTGGCTGCAGCATCCAGCTCGTACGTATGAGCGGTGCTCGCAGCGGGAGCAGGAGGTGGAGAAACCGCGTAGTGTTGGAGGCGTGCTCCCGAAGAAAGTAGGTGCTTTGCATTGTGCTGAGCAAAGCTCAGGCACAAGCGCCCCGATAGACGCATAGCAGTTTCGAAACAGCTTGCTCGATGGGCATGATCCATATGTGGCTGCGCCGTAACAGTAAAATCGGACGGGGATCGAGCCACTGATCTTTTACTCTCAAAGCCAGTGCTCTACCATTGAGCTATAAGGGCGATGCTCGTAAGTTTGTCCGAGTATGAACTATGCATGGTTTGAGAGGGCTGCGCCCAGGTGGAATCAAACCACCGATCTGTGACTTCCAAAGCCAACGCTCGACCACTACGCTATAAGGGCGCTGTCCCTAAGCTTGTCCAGACAAGGCCAACAGTTTATGGAACGAGAGGGCTGTATCCTGGTGGGATCGAACCACCGACCCGTGGCTCTCAAAGCCAATACTCGAACAGTAAGCTGAAGGAGTGTTGCTCTTAAGCTTGTCCAAGCGTGGACAGTCGTTCATGGAACGAGAAGGCATCGCCCTGGTGTGATCGAACCACCGACATATCATTTGTGAAGCGATTGTTCAGCCGCCGAGCCGTTGTCAACGACTCGGACGAGTCAACAACTTAGCTCTAAGCGGTTGCAGCTCTTGGAGTAGACGCGGAGCGCGAGCGTTGGTCTGGGATCGCTAAAAAACGAGATGCCCGGCGCGCTAGAAGCATTGAGCCATGGTCCGACGACGAGAAGCTGAGTTTCAACGATGCGTAGGCGTTTGTGAGCTTGAGGGGCTGTACAATGCTGGTATGATGTGTAGTAACCTCCGCCGTCTTGACAAGACGTGTCCTCGCTGAGGAAGTTTCAAGAACATGGAAGCTCTCACCTTAGTGTGGAAGAGTGAAACGGGATTACATTATGTAAACACACACAGGGGTGCTGAGTACCCGGGGAGTTAACAAGACCTCTCAGTACGTTGGTCGAAAGCCACACGCCTCGCATTTGATTAGGGTTACCGATGCTAGATCGCTATAAAGATATATTTACCCCTAGGCGGCTTGGCCGCAATTATAGTAAATAAAACACTTCTGGTTTTGAAGCATAAATATACGTTATTAAAATTGAGTCCTGGTCGCGGGCTGCAAGTGCCTTCGGATAAGGAACTTCGTATAAATGACTTTTTGAGTCGAACGTCTTCCTCTGACGCTAAAGCCACGGCCGCCCCGTTGCACTCTAATGTAGAGCTTCATAAGTGACTCCAAAGCCCCGACTTCAAATTAACCAGGGTCTATGTAACGGGATACGTACCCAATATGTACCCCTGTTACCTGAAGTGTGACACGTCATATTTCGGGATACCTGGTACATGGTACCAGGGGTCGTCAGAGGACAACCATTGGCTGATGACATAGCTTTAGTATAGGTGACTTATAGTTTTAGTGTTATTTTTACTCAAGCTTAGCCTACTTATAAATATAATCAGCTTACAACTTACCTTAAATTGGTCACTTCGCCCCCTTAGCCAAGAGGGGCATGTGAGCTACTGCTCAGTGAGAGTTTGTAAACTCTCGGAAGCCAACTACCTTAAGCACAATGTGCAGTGTAACCCCGTCACACTTGGTCGCACTTGTAGTCAATCCGCGCCAGCGCGTGCAGCTTCCTGAACCTCTCTGAAGTTCTTCGTCATGGGAAGGAACGACTTCTCCCATCTGAACGACTCACAGTTCGAGTCGGTTCGGAAGATGGCTGGCATCTTCGGGATGGAGGACCTGCAGAGCCTGGTGACATCAAGACCAGTCGAGCAGCCCGAGCGCGTCAATACGTTTGACGCCTACGAGCGAGGTCTTATCGCACATGTGCAAAAAAACCTGCGGGTTCCAGCGGCGGAAACACGCCCGCCACACACGAAGCCAATTCGGCTGAAAGTGAAGTCGTACGAAGGAAAGGAAGGTGGGAATCTTCACTTCTGGGTTCGAGGGGTAGAGCTCGCTATGGACGCGGCTTTAATCTCGACCGAGCAACTCCGCGTTGCTTTTGCACTCTCCAACCTTAGCGGTCGTGCAAGGAGTTGGTCGTACCCGCGGGAGGCGACATCGCCTGGGTGTTTCACATCCTGGGCTCTGCTGCGCGAACCGCTTCGATGCCACGTTCCTCCTGGCGATCTACGAGTAAAGGCAGCGTTCGCTCTTCCTCTCATGTAAGCAAGGAGTGCGCAACCGGCACGAGTACATCCAAGCGATAAGGGAGCGTACAGTATAACTAGTGGGCAACTCACTTAGCGACTACATCAAGGTCACAGTGCTCATGGACGGCCTTTCAGTGAGCCCGGCGCGCACTCAGCTGCTTCGGGTGCAGCCAAGCACCCTCGAAGAGGTGATCCAAGTGAATCTTTAAGAGGAATACAACCTTCGTCAGACGCGTACGCCGGTCTCAGCGTGGCCAGGAAATTCTGTGTCGAATCTCGGCCGCGCCAACCCCACCGGATCTGTTCGATGGAGTTCGGGTCTACCGAACAGCGCGACATTGGCTGCTTCTGCTGCGGGATGCTAGACCACTCCAAGCGCGACGGCCCCGCGGAGAGACACTGCAGGCGGATTTTTCCCAAGCCCGTCCTCAAGAACCGCTGATAGAAGGTGAGGCCACGGGACGCCGGAGACCAGTAGGGGCTGGGCGCCCTACCGGGGAAGAACTAAGACTTCGTGAGAGGTACGCGGGTGGCGTTTACCACGGGGACTTAGCCCCTGAGAGCCTTGGCTCTCTCGAATCAGCGAAGGACAGCGGCGGGCTGCTTGCAGTACGTTAATGTGTACGGGAATCTGATCACCCTTTGGAATCTCGATCGATTCTGGTGCGTCGAAGAGCTTCGCACGCATCCTGACGATTACTCGTTATAGCAACAAGCTATGATTTTTAAGAGAAAACAAAGACAGCGCGACCGTGTCAGCTCGACTGGTCGACGGGAAAGGTGGTCACTATCCCCCAACATCCAAATGGATCTGGCTGTCAAGGTCGAAGACTTCGACAGACCAGAACAGTACAATTCTCGACAGGAATCTCTACGATTTGATCATGGGCACTCCCTGATTCGAGAAGCACGAGCCCTGGATCGACTGGCGAGGCAAGGCAATTTGTACCAGCCGCCCTGCGATGTCCGACAGAGCATTGGTACGTCATGTTCCCACCTCTGTCAGAGCCCGGGGCCCGCAAGGGCTGCCAGAGAACCGAAGCATACGGCATATGCTTGAGAGTAGTCGACGCGACGTATATGACAGCTCCGAGGAAGCTTTGATAGTGGTGGCGCTGGTCAAGTGGGTAGCTGAGGCCCAGAAGCAGGTAGCATAGTTCCTCAGATAGCGGCAGCTATCCCAACGCTGGTAATAGCGTGTTTAAGGTGGGCAACACTGCTCTACACGCGTCTTATTTTTCAGTAGCTCCACGCGAGGCCTCAAGTGCCTCGGATGTCGACATCTCGACATCGTCAGACGTGGGTAACGAAGTTCCACGTCGCGGTCGCCGTCGCCGCCGCCGCCACAAGTTGGGTCTGAACCTTGCTCAGACAGACGTCGCTTTAATCGACTCGGCGTCCACAGCCCGGGCTCCTCAGACGCGGTTGGTGAAAGCGTGCTAACATTTTTTTATGCCGAGCCGGTTTACCTGTCAAGGCATCCGGCATCCCCCTGGAGACGCTGCCTAAGGTTTCAGAGATGTTGGCTCTCAAGGAAATGCTGGTGGAGGATTTACTGGTCGACCTCAAGGCTAGGGAGATTGCCGAGATGGTGCTCATCAGCACTTGAAAAGAGCTAAACACCTCCTCGGCTTAGACGAAAACGTACAGAGGAAATGAGCAAGCAGCGTCAAGCGCGCTTGGCGGCTTCTGATACGCTTTAGAACCTCAAGGATCCGGTGTATCATTTGATGACAGAGTATTGGCCTCGTCCTCACTGTCCGGACTGAACACACGCTCAACGAATCGTGGGCTCGGTCAGCTGTTTGGAGAGACCAAAGATGACGGACTGCAGCCTTTGATTGACTCGCAGTCTTGCCACCGGGTGTACCGATCTCCTCGGAGACCATCTTAGTAGCCTCCTCGAATGCAGAGCCTTTGCCGCAAGGCTTAGTGCACTTGGCTTGCGCCTTTCCGGCAGCAGCCTTGGAGTGTGCTTTCGCACCGATCTTCGCAGTGCCACGAGGCATTCTGAAGATCGAAGTGGAGACCGAGAAGAAGAGCGCATTAGTACTGCTCGAGGCTCTAACTGTGAAGTGAGCCCCCGCCGCGTTTTTGCAACTAAGTCGATGTCTTTCGACTTTTAGAATGAGAGTTTTGACGTACTCGTCTTCATTCTGATTGGTCAGCAAACATAACCTAAGCGAGGTAGGATGTAACGGGGTACGTAGCCCAACGTGTACTCCCTAATTACATGAAGTTTGACACGTCACATTTCAGGATACGTACCAGGGACAGTCATTGGCCGATGACATTGCTTTACTAAAGGTGACTTAAAGTTTGTGTATTTGACTCAAGCTTAGCCTACCTATAAAAGCATTTAGTTTACAGCTTTCCTTAAACTGGCTAACTCGTTTCCTTCGACAAAAGGGATCTGTGAACTAATTTTCATTGATAGTTTGTAAACTCTCGCAGGCCGACTTCCTCAAGCGCAAGGTGATGTGTGACCCGTCCCAATCAATGTCATTTTCGGCGCTGGAAGCTGCTTGCCAATGATAAATTTGAGTAAACTTAGGGAAGCTTAATCCGTTATTAAAGGAAAGTGTAAAGCTCTCATTGTTTGGATCGCTCCGCATCACCCAACAAGAGCGCTGCAACCTTTGCGACGAAAACTTCACAAGATCCGAGCTGCTCATTCAATTTTGTCTAGCGATATTACAGCATTGGTTTGCTGCGTCGACGCAAACAACTTATCATTAAAACCTACGTATCCAAGGTTCGTCAGTACACGCCGGCTTTGGATGCACTTTGTGACAGAGTAGGTTGTCCAGTATCCTAGGCGCGTCCTCCCTGAGCTGGAAAGGCACCCGCCCCGTGTTCTCCTTAACGGTATTAATAATGATGAGGGAAATTATGCTTAGATGCAGTTGAAAAATACTTTGTCGCCTCACACTATTTCAGCTTTGCTTCACCGACCCTTAACGCAACTCAACGATTTAAAATCGCAAATTATCGCTGTGCGTTGGAACATTTTTTTCAAAAGCTGCTCTTAAAAGTAGCAAATCGATTAAGAGTTAAAAAAAAGCAGATATTACGCTACCGGTAATACCAGTACCTGCCTTCATGTGATACAATCATTGTAGCTCATAATATAAATTTACAAAGGCCCCGAGATGACTCCTTCGGATAGAGTTTTGAGCACAATGTGCTCTCGGTACATGTAGTTAAAGCGTCGGGAGACCACTTTATTATTCCTATTTAAGGGGAGTCCTATCGCGGGATGTACCTTCTTAAAATAAGTCGGCTTATTCGCTCGCGTTAGCTCGAGCCACCACTGCGAACGGGTTGTTGTATCCAGGGTTGTCGGGGGGGAGGGGGGGGCTGAGTTGCTAAAGTTTTTCGATCGTGCGGATGCTACTGGATGTCGTCGACGGTCTAAGGAATCTTGTATGAGGAGTTCAGTGGGATAGCTATAAGAAACGTTCGTGAAATTATAGATTGAAATCGCAACTATTCAATGCTGGCCTTCTGGCGTCCTGTACAATTGGGACTTTTTCATAAGGGTTAGCCATCCCACGATAAAAATACTTGCCCGATACTATCTTCTTTTTTATAACTGAGGGGTGAGAGGGGGAAGCTCGCATTTTTATTTGTATTGAGGGTGTATTCCAGGTCTGGAGAGGGTAATCAAACACCACATGCTCTGCGATATGATACGCTTGATACTTGTCGTCGACCGAGGACTCCTGGGTCGACATTGTCCCAGGAGATGACAACTTGGGCGTTTCGCCCACGAAGCTACAGTACTACCACAAAGGGACGACATCGAGCAAAAGATTGGACGACGTCGAAGTTCGACTGTATTTTAGTACATGATGTACTTGTACCCAAGGCTTGATTTACAGTAACCGGCACTGATGTAGTTTTTGATCAATTTTAATTGAGGAACTAATAATGTCCACTTTGAAGCATCAGTCGAACCACGTCACCCACATCCAGTCTCATCACGACATGGAATACTTTGGCCATAGAGTTTAAGCACCACACCTTTATGGTGCTACATTTTAATACCTGAACTTTATGGCTAATGAATGCAAGGTATTATACATGTACTAGTAGTCTACAAGATACTTGAAGTATTAAAAGTTTGCAGCACGGTGCGATACTTACGAAACACATCTCATGACTTTTTGGGCATCACAAACTACAAAGGACACACAGGTATTAGCGTTAGACATAAGGTCTAACATTCTACATGTACACGTTTGTTAGTTTGTTATTGATACCAATTTGTGTAGTACAGCATCACAAACCCATCCCAAGTGGCTATCTCGTATGCTTTTTCGCACCTGGTGGTAAATCGTTCAGCGAAGAATCCCTATTTCGTGTTTTGCTTGATTCTTGAAAAGCTGACGTCGTCATGATACTCCGAGCGTTATTGCTCGTACTTGCTGTCGCGGTTTCCGCGACTATTTCACAAGATGTTCAATTGAGCGAGAGCTTCGGTGGTCCCCACGGAACAGAATTCTCTGACGAAGCCTCGGTTGTCGTTGGCCAGACAGTAGGCTCCATTACGATCCGCGCTGGAGAGCGAGTGGACGGTGTCGCCTTGGAAGTGACGGGGCCAAAGGCAGCTACTTTCAGCCATGGCGGCACCGGAGGAAAAGGAAACACATTAACTCTAGCAGCAGGCGAACGTATCACGTCGATGGAAGCGCATTGGGGCAAGAAAAGTGGTCGAACTCGGATTTTCTACTTAAGCTTCGGTACGAGTTCCGGTAACTCGGTGTCTGGCGGGTCAATGACGGAAGATAAAAACTCGGTTACCGCGCCAAAAGGCTTCCAGCTTGGAGGGTTTTTCGGGCGTGGCGGCGATGAGATCGATGCACTTGGTGCGATTTGGGCACGAATCGAGGCCCCGCCACCAGCCACGGAGCCTCCAGCTCCAGCTCCACCTAAAGAGGAGCCTGCTCCACCAAAAGAAGAGCCTGCTCCGTCAAAAGAAGCCCCACCAGCTGATGCGTCAGGCAGTAAGGCTTCTCCTGCTGAATCTACAGCAGCGTCTGGAGCTCTCGCTGATAGTTCAGTGGCAGCAGCACCAGTAGAAGAAGACACGGAGAGCGCGTCTGCAGAGGCGTCTGCAGAATCCTCGGCTGCGGCGTCTGCAGGCTCCGCAGCTCCTCCACCGGGTACTGTAGCTCCTGCACCTCCTGCAGCTCCTGCTGCCCCCTCTATTTCTGTCGAGGACTCTGTCCAGCTCAGTAAGAGTTTTGGTGGTCCCCATGGCGCCGAATTCTCGGATAAAGCGGCAGCTACTTCCGGACAAACCGTGGTGTCGATTACCATTCGTGCAGGTGAGCGGGTCGATGGAGTCGCGCTCGAGATAGCAAAGCCCAAAGCTGAGACCTTTAGTCACGGGGGCTCAGGAGGAGACCCCAAAACCCTAAAACTGGGCGAAGGCGAGTACATCACGTCAATGGAAGCGCATTGGGGCAAGAAGAATGGTCGAACGCGTATTTTCTACTTAAGTTTCGGTACAAGTGCAGGGAACTCGGTGGCTGCAGGAACCCAAACGGAAGAGAAGAACTCGGTTTCTGCTCCTAAAGGTTTCCAGCTCGGTGGCTTCTTTGGCCGCGACGGGGACGAAATTGATACCCTGGGTGCAATTTGGACGAGTATTGAGTTGGTCACACCAGCACCGACAGAAGCACCAGCTCCAGCTCCGGCGAAGGAGAAACCTGGACCTGCTGCACCAGCTAAACCTGCCGCGTCGTCGGGATCTGGTGGCGGGACTACAAAACGCGCTAAAATTTTGAGCGCGTCTTTCGGTGGGCCACACGGCAACCAGTTCTCGGATCAACCCGTGGCCACGTCAGCACAGACAATCAGCTCGATCATCATCCGTGCTGGTGAACGCGCACATGGCGTCACTCTTGAAGTATCAGCGCCGACAGCCGAAACCTTCACTCACGGTGGGCCTGGAGGAACGGAGAACAAGCTGGCACTTGAAAAAGGAGAACACATCACTTCAATGGAAGCTCATTGGGGTAAGAAGAGCGGCAGAACGCGTATTTTCTATCTTAACTTCGGGACAAGTGCTGGTAACTCGGTGTCGGCCGGATCGAAGACTGACCTTAAGGGAAGTATCACTGCACCGGACGGTTATCAACTCGGAGGTTTCTTCGGACGTGACGGTGACGAGATTGATCTCTTGGGTGTCGTTTGGACTAGTATTGAACCTGTTGCTGAGACGGCAGCAGCCAGCGAAGGTGCATCTGCAAATGAGGATATTGTACTGAGTCCGGTTTATGGAGGTCCTCACGGTGTGGCATTTTCCGATGTGAGGAACATCGTCCTTGGACAAACACTCAGCTCCGTCACAATTCGAGCTTTCAGACGAGTTGATGCCGTGACGCTACAAGTAACGAAACCAGCCGAACAAACGTTTACTCACGGTGGGAAAGGTGGGAAAGAAACTACGCTCGCACTCGGTCCAGGAGAATATATCAATTCAGTGGAATTTCATTGGGGTAAGAAAGATGGACGAACTCACGTATTTTACGTAAACTTCGGCACCAGTGCGGGAAATTCCTTAGCTGCGGGAACGAAAACCAAAGATACTGCAGTCGAGACGGCTCCTAAGGGGTTCCAATTGAGTGGACTGCATGGTCGTGCCGAGGATGAGGTGGATCAACTCGGCTGCATCTGGACGAGGATCGATGCGAAGCCAGCTTTACTGACTGATGTTATGGACACTGCGTGGTTCGGTGACATTATCCGTAACTGGGTGGGACCGACGATTGGAGCTGCGAAAGATTCGGCTTGCTATCGGAAATATAAACCGTTTGATAGCAAGAAGATGTGTCCTCTTGGCTACGGTAATGACGACGACGACTGTATCGCTCAATGTCCAATGTCGTACCCGGTACGATGTGGTTTGGAATGTATTCCACAGAATGACGACTGTGCTCTGGCAGTTCTATCCAAGATCTCGGCCGTCGCTGCTGTGGCATTCAATGCGGCGACAGCAGGCATCTTCACAAGTGTCAAGACTCTGTACAAAGGAGCGAAGTTGCTCTACATGTGTGCGGCAAACGTCATCAACGTTATCAAGCAATTGATCTACTATTTTCGGTATGTTCAAACAACGGCGCCACAAGGAGACGTCGAGCATATGCTGACTGCATCTTACCAATCCAATGTCGTGCTGGTGGATTTGCCGATCGCGATCTACGCTTGTCTCGGGATGCCGGCTCCCAAGAAACTGGTATTTGCCGGGTACGTGGTTACCATCGTGGAAAATATCGTGAAACAAGTGATTGTCAATGGGGACGAGATCATTTCATCGGCTAAAAACGTCATTGATCTTCTTAAGAATTCCAGTGCAGTCAACAACTCGGCGAGTAGCGTGACAGAGCTGGAAGATTTCATTGCGTCCAACACGTCCTGCGGCTTCGAGCTCAAGCAACTGACCGATCGAGTGCTGGTTACCGTCAATGATATTCGCAACAAGACACCGAATGCCGCCAAGGATGACGTCCGTGTGGCTGTGAGCAAGTCTACGTTGGTATCGAACGACATTCCCTCCGTCACTAACGACTGTATGAAAGAATTGCTAAAATCGAAGACTAAACAAGCAGCTTTTGAGACGAGGGATTTGCTTCGAAAGACGATGGAAGTGATCATTGACCAGCTTGTCGACACGGCTACGACGGATATGGGAAAGAACGTGGCAGAGAACGACCAGATGCTGGAGATCGCAAACTTTGGATTAGTCGTGTTAGGAGGCTTGGACCCAACTGGTATTGTCTACATGGCGTCTCAATTCGTCCAACCGATTTGTGGACCCACTGGATTTCTCGGCGAGATTGACGATGGGAATCTGTACGACGCCTTGGGGATGTGGACGGTGGACGAAGCGTTCGAAGGAAGTTACGGAACGTGGTCCAAGAAAGGAGATGGTGTGGTTCGAATTATCTTCGAGAGCACGGACAAGGAAGACGTGACTGTGGTGATTCACTCCGGTGGTGATGACTATGCTGAGGTGGATGTTGGCGCTGGCGATACCGTGACGTGGGAATCGACGGTTCCGGAGCTGCAAGATAAAACTTTGTATCTGGACCGATGGCGACCTGGGTTATTTGGCTTACCCGGCTCCGGGGGTGGGTCTCTGCTACTGTGGATTCCACGAGCAGCGGACGGAGGCCATTTGACGTTACACGCCAGGATCAACGTCAGCTAGGAAGCTCAAGGAGGATGTAGTGGTGTTTTGTTGTTAGGAAATGGTATAGTGTCAGGTGTAAAGCTCTGTTGTTTCAATAGATTGCTGGATTTTCAGATTTGGCTGTGGTTGAATAATAGCGTCTGTTTTTAGAGCATCGCCACTCATGTTCCGGAACTACGCCGCGACGCTCTACGGCTAAGGTGCGTGATCACCATCTTGCTAAGCCTGTTATTATAACGTACCGACACATGCACGAGGTCTCTTGTTTACTTAAGTACGAAGGTAGGGTCGACTTCGAATCACACGATTTGACGGTCGTGAACAAACTCACTTTTTTTTCCAATTTATTCTTACACTAAAATACTGAGCACGTTGCGCAGGGTTTTCCATGAAAGAAATAGCACTAAAATAGCTGGCATGCAGCGCAGCGCTTTTAATTTTAAAAATACAATGGGAGGAGCAAATGAGGATAGAGTCGCTTTCCTAAATATTAATAGCGCTACTTCGAAGTACCATTGTAATTTGATATTGCACATGATCTGTTCGTTTTAATCGCATTAAATATTTCTATTTTCTTATTATTTATTTATTTGCTCACCAAAACACAATATTGAAAAAAAATATTTATAGCTCTGATACAATACAGAGCAACATGGAGTGTTACATGTCGACGAATGTGGAGCGACTGTGGCTTACATGTACCCAGGGATGCCGAATATTGCATTTTTATCTATTGCTAATCAAAGCAGAAAATAAATAATTGGGTTGGAGAGCTGACTACTGTAGACCAAAATAGATTATTGAACTTCCTCAGCTCAAAAAATAGATTATTGGTGCAGCAAAATTGGTACACAGCGAGGGCACCAATTTTAAAGAATGTATGGCCAATTAAACACCGCCCAATAGATTATTGGTGCTACAACGGGAGCGAAAATAAATAATTGATCTTCCTCTCCAGACAGTCTCCAATAGATAATTGGTGCTTTCTTATTGCAATAATTGCAGCACCAATTTATTTTTCGGCATCCCTGCATGTACCGGGTGCTCGATCCGCTTGATAATCAGGCCCAACAGGTTTCCAGCGGGGATAGTTTCTGTTCAACAGTCAAGATCACTGCCATTCGGCTATCAAGTGATTATTACCGGCAACAAATGAAGGTGACAGACAGCGAGTTGTCTAAAAGCCGATTACAGTTGACAGTCTATCGGAGACAAAATTGCGAACACTTTGGGCATAAGCAGTATAGCTGTCAGTGGGTATTTTCCAGTCAACGCTCTGCATTTCTGAAATTCCGACTTCGTGAGCATGACACTCCGAGTACTGACACTTCAGTGGTTAGTGTGTCTTCTTCTAGCAAGTTTCTCCGGGGTGTTCTCGGCAGATAAACCCATCCAGTTGAGCAAGAGCTTTGGTGGGTTTCGTGGCACAAAATTCTCTGATAGAGCCTCAGTCACCGCCGGACAAGTAGTGGAGTCTATAGCAATTTATGCGGGTGCACGCGCCGTTTACGGGATATCGTTAAATGTTACAAGTCCCAATCTGGAGTCACTACATTATGGTAGACCGCGCGGAAACACTAGTGAACTTGTGCTCGGTGTGAAGGAATATATCACGTCGATGGAAGCGCGCTGGGCTACTGTACTTAATCGCACGCACATCGTCTATCTTTGCTTCAATACAAGTGACGGGAACTCGATATCTGTCGGAACCAAGGCGAAGAGTACAGCCGTAGTCAGAGCACCCAAGGGGTTTCAACTGGGGGGCTTTTACGGCTTAAGCGACAAGGCAATCGTCAAGATAGGCGCAATTTGGACTCGGGTCTCGGCAAAAACCACTGCTTCAGCAACTTCCAAGGCAGAAACCTCTGGGTCGTCTGATGCCTCCGAGTCAGGCTCAACTGCAGCGTCTGATGGATCGTCGGAAACGACAGGTGCCTCCGAGCCGGCTTCGTTGCTAGCATCTAATGCTGCCTCTGCGTCTGATTCGAGCTCAGCGGAAGTGTCTGATGAATCTGTTGCTTACACACGTAGTTGGTAGTTGCCGTCAGTTTTGGATATGAGGTGGCTTCACATGGCCACCTCTCCACCACATCCCTCGGCTTATCTTAAGTTGGGTGGACGCTGGCCTCTTTCCTTCAGCCATTGCCCTTATTGACATTTATCCAATCAAATAGACTATTTGATTGCCTTTTAACCTATCATATTGCACAAACCGAGTATACAAACTCAAAGGTATTGCGTCGCAACACTCCCACTAAAGAAGCCAGCGTTGCCATAAACTTTCTTCTTATTGTCCGTCAACTTTCTTCATATTGTCACCAAAGATCCTTCTCGAAGTCGACTTCAACCTTTCTCAGATTTAGCATGCCCAAAATAGCAAAATCAAACTACCGAACTGGGATTTAGTATAACTTTGAATGCTGGGCACATACCCAAGCTTAAATTCGCAACCCAAAATCAGAAGCAATACTTTATTTCATATTAAAAAGTAACTTAGCTTATGTATTTGAAGTTTCCGACTTTTGCGAGAGCTGCTCACTCTCTATTTTGCTGCTGTCAAGCGCAGGTCCCGACGTTACCCTTCGGGGGGGGGGGGTTCACAAGCGTCTCCGTATCCCATCAGGCGACAGTGATCCGGCATAGGCCCCAGCGGCCCTAGTGTCCTGGCTCTTTGTACCTAAACGGATCGCCAATGGCTCATTGGAGGCACTGCGGAGCAAAAGTCCGGTTATCCGGTACCCGTGAATTTCCAGTCTTTGACCATTCGTGCTTTACTTGGTGGTATTTAGAGAGTCAGGATAGAATTAAACTTAAAAAGTAAAATATACTCTGGGGCAAGGGGCTGATAGCCCGGACATGTCAGAATTACTTTTAGAGGGCTAGGTGACGTGTAAAACTAAGGTTTTATGGCTAAAGCCGTACTTTTACCAAACCCTTACACTAAAATGTGCCCTTTATTGTTAACTTTATTTCTGACTTTGCTGCCAATAATTGAAATTCCACTTTGATCTTGTAAACATATCTTTGAAGCCAAATCTTACTTACATATGGCAATCTTTATTTATGGAACTCTTATATAAGGTCTTTAACGCCCATCATAAATCGGAGTTTTTCAAACTGATTTTGACTCAAGGGTTTAGTTAAGGCATCCGCTATCATATCATTGGTGCTACAATAAGTAATCCTGATTTGCTTATCTTCATGTTTATCTCGTGCAAAAAGATGTCTAATATCAATGTGCTTAGTAGAAGAGTGACTGCACGGGTCCTTAATAATACTGATTGCGGCCGTATTATCACACCAACAATGAGTCGGTAGTAATTGCTCGTAGCCTAATTCTTGCAGTAGTAATCGTAACCACATTGCTTCTCTTACTCCTTCACTAGCGGCGACTAGTTCTGATTCCGCTGTATTAAGACTAATACAATCTTGCTTAATACTCTTCCAGGTAATGCATGCACCAGCGAGAATTGATACATATCCTGTAATTGATTTCCTTTCTTCAGATGCATTCGCGAAGCTCGCGTCTGTGTATAGCTCTAACTTAATAGTACTATTACCATTGTACTCAATGCCATACCTCGACGTTCCTTTCAAGTACTTTAGTACTCGCTGAGCCGCTCTCCAATGAGTCTTATTATAGCAAGATAGATATTTACTAAGCTCTCTGACAGCATTAGCGATATCAGGTCTAGTTCCCCTAACTAGGTACATCAAGGACCCAACTAACCCTCTGTAGTCGAATGACTGTGCCGCTATTTGTTCGGGTGACAATGTCTTTTCCTTCTCTAAGACCACAGCTTTTGCTTGTGGTGTAGGTGCAGTATTGCAGTCTCTCATCTCAAACTTATCTAAAAGGTCGTTAATATACTTTTGTTGAGATAGGCGTAGAGTCTTATTTGTAAGGTCTCTTTTAATCTCCATTTTAAGCAGGTAGTGCAACTCACCCAAGTCTTTCATAGTAAACTTGTCATACAGCTTAGCTTTAAGATCATTTATAGAACTTAGATGTGATCCTGCAATTGTCAGGTCGTCCACATACACACACACTATAAGGACGTGCTGAACCCCATTTATCTCCCACCGTTTTAGATACAAGCAATGCTCTTTCTTGCATCTAAAAAAGCCTAAGGTTTTTAAAAAGGTATTCAAAACTTCATACCAAATTCTAGGTACCTGTTTCAGTCCATACAGGCTCTTTTTTAATTTGCAAACTAGATGTTCAGTTCCTTTGCGAAACCCCATTGGTTGCCTCATGTAGATGTTTTCACTTAAAACTCCGTTTAAAAACGCTGTAGATACATCCATTTGGTGTAGATGCAGCCCTAATATTGTGGCTAATGCCAGTAATAAGCGCAACGATTTATATCTTGCTACAGGTGCAAACACCTCTTTATAGTCAATTCCATACAATTGTGTATTTCCTTGCACAACTAACCGTGCCTTAAAACGGTCCACTGAGCCGTCGGCTCTGTATTTAACATCAAACAGCCAATGACAACCCAATGGCCGTCTTCCAGTAGGAAGGGGTACTAATTCCCACGTTTTATTACTTAAAAGGGCGCCATACTCTGTCTTTATTGCACACTCCCACTGCTTCGCATGTGGGCTTTTCCTGGCCTCCTTAATTGACCTAGGAATAGGTATTCTGGCTGTCTTATTAATAGCTACAGTATTTAACTCTGTCACGTAGTCGTTGAGCCGCACATTTGGCAGTCGTCGTCTTTTAGACCTACGAACAGCACCGTTTTGCACTCCCACTTGTCTGGGTGTCGGTGGTCGAGAGACACAATCTGGGCCAGTGGTGTCAATATCCTGCACTTCAACTTCTAGATTAGGTCTAGTTCTTTTACCTAGGCCTTGAATTACCTTTTCTTCTTCAACGTTGACGCTACAGTCCTCGATAGGGAACGATCGACTGATCATTGCTTCAGTACCAGCTGAGCTAAACTTTACATCACGGGCAATAAGGTATTTATTAGCCTTAATGTCCAGGAGTCGGTACCCTTTATGTTTAGGCGAAAATCCCAACAACTTACATTCTATAGCCCGATCGCCTAGTTTAGGATCCTTTCGTTTTGACTTTGTATATGCGCATAGCAAGTGGAGCCCCAAATTCTTAACCCTAACCCCTTTGGTTTATGGCGGTGCAGTAACTCATAAGGGGTTTTCATTCCCAGTCTAGCCATTGGTAGTCGATTAGTGACATCCACCATATAAAGTAGGGCCTCAGGCCACCATTTAGCAGCCATATTAGCACCCCTAATAGCACACCTAACACCAGCCATCATGGTCTGGTGGGCTCGCTCAGCACTGCCATTTTCTTCTGGAGATTTAACATTAGAGCTTTCAAACTGTAAGCCCAATTTATCGCATATTTTGGACACTTCAGTGTTTATAAATTCTGTTCCACCATCAGTCCTTATTCTTCTGACCTTATAAAGAGGAAATTGACACGACAGCTTCCTCAATAAAGACTTAATTTTTCCAGGTACCTCTTTTAAGGATTTGACGATAATGTACCACTTATAAGCAGTGGCGTCATCTACAACAGCCAATGCGTATCGGTACCCAAAAGATCCTTATAAACCGCTAACTCTTAATCGTCCGGTTGAATCCATATGAAGTGTATGTAGTGGTTCATTACTCTTATTTCCCACCAAATTTCTATATGACATTCTTTTGTCCTTCATTTAAGCGCACGTTTTACAGAAAAACGAGACCTTCTTAAGCTCTGAATACGAAATATGAGGAAGACCCTCAATTTTCTGGTTGCTGATAGTCCTAATTAGACGTTCCTTACCGACATGACCCAGTCTTAGGTGCCACTCCATTAAAAGGTTAGCTAAGTTACCACTCTGAGTGCTAAAAACACGCCTTTTAGTCGGTTTAATACTCGGTAAGTAATAGACTTCTCCTATTGCCACTGCTGCAAAGAGCAATTTTTGGTCATTCCCTATAAAAAATCGAAATTCACCTGATTTTGACTGAAAGTGCCTAAATCCCTGTCGAGCTAAATAGTAGGCACTCAACAAGTTACTATCACACTTACGGTCAAATGAGACATCACTTAGTGTTAATACACTCAACCTCTTTTTAGGGCTTAAAACGGTAAGTTTTATTGATCCCTTTAGTGAGCTATGAGAAAAGCTCCCGTTTCCGTAGGTAAAAGTGTGGCCCTGACTCGGTTTTAGGCTCCCACTAAACCAGCTTCGATCTGATGTTATAGCTCGGCCTGCACCAGTATCAACCACCCACATATCATCGGTCAGTTTTAAGAAGAACTTCGGCCAAGGTGACGCTGCGGGCCTGATTAAGCTGATCCGGGCCTGGTCGAAGGTGTTGCGTAGCCCTTGGCGTGACTTAAGGACACTTTTCGCGCAACTTAAGAAGGCAAAGAACGAGATTAACAGAAAGTCTCGGAAGCTGCTCGGCCAGGACATGGTGACCGAGTCTTGGCTGTGCATTGAAGTCCTGTCACAACTCCCAAGTGAATTTTGGGCTTCAGCGATCTCCATGAAGAAAGAGGACTTCACGGTGGATAGGGTCGAAGTGGACTTACGCAAGACCTTTGGTGACCGATCCAAGAAAGAAGTGGGTTTAATGGATAAAACCCAAGCGATTCCTGTCAACAATGTCGGGGTCAAGAGAAAAAGCGGTGCAGGTGAGGGTGGAAAAAGGTGTTTTTACTGCCTCAAGAGTGGACACTTTAAATCGGACTGTTCGGTGATGATCGCTGATAGGGATCCTAACCGCGAAGGTGGACCCCTTTTTAGGACCGATATCAACACTGCACCGGGTGCTAGGAAGGCCAAGAAGGCGAAGACAACCCCGATTAATACCCTCAAATCGGTGGTGCTAGAAGGGGGAAAACGCCTAAATGAGTGTGGGAAGACTCTTCTGGAAGAGTGCATTGAGGACGAGGAGATGGACGACATTGAGGATCTGGACCCCGCCTACCATAAAGGTTTTGAGGATGGTGGCAACGTGCCGAATACCCCTGTCAGGTCCCCACTACAAATGGACGACATCGAAGAGGAGGTACGTAAGCAGCATCACTCCTATTTGAGATCCTTGAAGAAGTTGCGGGACAATCCTAAGAAGCCAGCACCACCGACCACCAAAATGGACGAGCAAGAGGCGCTCTCGGCGCGGTGGGACGTGATGCACTGGATGAGAGGAAGGGGCGACTTACAAAACCTGCTCAATCAGGTCCTTCCAAACTTCTTTCTCTCTACCCTTCCCGATGTGGTGTCCTCCATGGACCCATGTGAAGTCATTCGACTTCTCGAGGAAGTCGGCCATGAGCACCTTCGCTTCAGGCTGTTCCTTCTCTAACAGCTTCGTTTGGTACTGATGGTCCAACTGATTGACGTAAGTCAACAGCTTGTCCTTCCACATAGTGTAGGACTTACCATTAAATTTCTCGAGGCCACCACCAGTCTTAGCAATAGCAGCCATTGAGAAGTACTTGAAATGTTGCTTACACACGTAGTTGGTAGTTGCCGTCAGTTTTGGATATGAGGTGGCATCACATGGCCACCTCTCCACCACATCCTTCGGCTTATCTTAAGTTGGTTGGACGCTGGCCTCTTTCCTTCAGCCATTGCCCTTATTGACATTTATCCAATCAAATAGACT